GGTATTCTTTCTCCGAATGAGTTCTCCCATGCCAACCGATAAGCGAAGTGGCTCTTCTGGGTGCCCATTAAAATAACTAAACTCATAAATTGTTTCTTAACGCTGTGGGAGACGAGTGCTTGAGTCTGTGCCAATCGATATATAGGAGTGCCATTTAGCCCTGCGATGATCGCTCCTAGAGAATTATAATTATACAGCTGGCGTAATTTCTAGATGGAAGAAGAATGGTTAGTCGACGATCTACAAATAAGACAACCAAGGTCGCGATGTTACCAACCAATGAAATATTCATAAACTTTTCTAATGCTTGAGCCCTATGCTTAGCTTTATCGCGAAGTAAGACCATGCTGGCGGCAAAATATGCGAGGTGATTAAATTGCTTTATCATCCTATTCACGTTTTCTAAATGGCTGGACGGCTTTTCCTTGTTTTCTGACGACGTGCTCACGTGGCGAATAAGCTCCCGTGGTCTAAAGGCGCTATACATTACCCAGTCGATACGGGTAAGCTCTCGTGCAAAGTCTTCGTCTGGTATCTCCATGAATATGCGCCATTGTGTTTTGCCCAAAGTGTGGCGTGGTACTATCTCGAGTCGTTGGGCTTCTCGATGGGCCGATTCCGTGCCCAATAGCATTTTGAACGACTGGCTGGAAATGCTCCCCGATCTATTGAGCGTCGACGTCATTGACAAGTTAGAATACTGAGACGCGTGGTCGACATTTTCTTCGTTTAGGTCCAGAGCAGCCATGTTTTGAATGGTCTCGTCCGTATTCTGGGAGACGGAAGCCGCCGGTGAGCTTTGAACAGAAGTGTCTAAGAAGGTCTCCACATTTTCAGGCTCGCTTTTCTCATCCTTAAATGCCCAGTCTACATCATCGTCTTCCACGAATTTTTCGAGACACGAGCTAATTTCTTTCGCCGCGAACGCGAAAATCATATTCTTTTCCAGGAACCCAATAAAGTCCGTGAGTCGCTTCCGGGGTTTTGGACTTGCAAAGTCTCCAGGGTATTCAGCAGCCCATTGAGCCAGAACGTTGAGCATGGTTAATTGGTCCGCATGGCGTTTTAATCGAGGCACCTCACTGTTTTCCATCCGTTCAAAGCGTCCGATTATCGAGTATAAAAGTTGAGAAGGGCTTGCAAATTTTCGGTATAGGCATAGAAATATTGATGGGAACTTTGCGTCTTGTTTAGTCAATGGCATCGACAAAAGCCGATCCACTAGCTCGTCGAACGTAGAGCCAGGATCCTCTGGTTTTGTTTTGGCATTTGGACTTGACGGGCTGGTGAGCTGATTCGAAGAGTCTTCTGTTTCATCTTCCATATCCAAAAACGAATTGAAGGCGTCAGAACCCGCACTATGCCTCCACTGCGTACGAAGCCTTTGGTGTGCGATGTTTCCAGGTGAGGTTTCCTCAGGAACTGGGTCTACCGTTAAGGAAGAACCACGGTTCACCCGATTCCCCGGAGGCGTCCGTGGTGGAACAGGCTGCGAATTACTCCGTCCATATCTCGAACCATGTACATTGAGAGCCAGGTTTGAATCAGTTGCGGAGTCGAGACGGACTCCTTCGTTAAGATAAGGATCGGCGGGGTGCAAACAGGTGCCCTTGGGCGTTTCGGAGTGTGCTCTCGTGTGTTGGCGGCTCGAATAAGGGCGAAGGCGCGAGGGAATGTTTCCAGAGGAAGCTCGATTTTTGGGAAGAGGACGCTTCTTCTCACAAACTACATCTGCGAGAAAACGAGAACCAAGGTTAGTGGTCGAGTCAATTGAGTCAATGCTTTTCCGAGAGGGAAGAGAAAAAAAAAAAGTCTCAGCACAGATGTCTAGTCAACCAAATCGAAGCTAGATATCAGACATGAAATTTCGAGGCCGCCGTTTGACAGGGATTGAGGCGGAAGGGCATGCAATAATAGGGTGGTTATATTAATAACTGTGCAGAGTGAGTGGACGGGCTTGGAGTGGAGCACCGCAAAAGCACGATTTAGCGTGGTGGGAGCAGGGGGTTCCCTAGCGGGCAACAAGACTCCGCACCAACTCATTGACCAGTCATCCCCCAGGACATGTGGAAATTAGCCCAGTTCGTGTAATTAAACTGGGCGACCGCACGGAACAATGGCAGAAAGGGACATTAAAACGGGTCATAATAATTGGCGGGCAAGGAAAAGGATGCAACATCAACGAACAGGGCAGTCAATCTGAGCGGTTTGGCTGGCCGGACAGGGTGGAAATAGGCCCTGTCCAGACGCACATTGATAAAAATCAAAGTGGAGACCCGACACACGACAATAAAGCAACCTGATGGGGTGAAAAATATCCTTACCGGAAGTTCGAACAATGATCGCCCTGAGAACTATGGAGATGCACTTCTTGTAAGATTCTGAAACACGAATAGATGTCTGTAATGCTTCGGTCCCCGCAAGAAGTCGATTCGCTTGCTCGAGAACTGCAGGGTCATGTTGAGAGGAGCGGCGCGGAGTGTCGCATTTACAGGCCACGACGAGAAAAGGTATACTACTTGTCTGCTGTAGCGTACCTATACATCAAGGATCTTCTGTCAGTTTTATTATGCTTATCGTACTGTAAATAGCCCTGGATAGAGTTTATCGTTGAGTATTCCTCGAAGACTCCAGGTTAACTGTCGCCATGGAACAAGGAAAGCCACCCGCCGACCGGGGGCCGCTCTGCGGAGAAATAAACAAGGCGGGAGAGGCTTCTCTCACGACTTACTGAGAAGTTGAGACAGTTGCGTAAGGGTGCGAGGATCAGCGGAGTCAAACAGCGCAAGAACCCCATCAATGGGTGGCACCGCCTGTTCTCCGAGCAACCTTGGCCATGTAATCCTTCCGTGTTCATCAACTGCGATGTTATGGATTCCAACCTCCAAGAGTCGAACGAGGTAGATGGTGCCATCCAAGGACATCTTTTTAACCGACGAGCGGGCAATTGGAGTCTGCTTCAGGTCCAACGCATACTTTACAAGCGTAGACTTCCCTACTCCTTGTGCGCCGACAACTGCCATGTTCACCTGAGGCAGGCAGTGTTGTGACGGGATGCTTACCTATAGCCGATAGCGAAAGAACAGAACGAAAGGTCAACCCAGATAATATGAAGGCGCATGGACCATTGTATTGAAAAGAAGAACACGGAAGCCGCACATACCATGGTTTCATTTGGGATATGCCCTGAAGCGTCCTGGGCGTAGGGCAAAGGATTGCTTTCATCGATTGCTGCAATTATACCATCGGGCTGCTTCGAATGGCGAGGGCGGGGGAGTTCGCCGGCGGGAGCAGAGTACGTCCGGCTCTGCAAGGTAGGTCTCTGTGGTGGAGGGACGGGCTGCTTCTTGATCAAATCTCCCGCCGACTTATTCCTCAAGTGCTGAGGCGTCATGTTTGAGTGAGCAGGGTTCAGAGTCACTGGCACTTTTGTCTGCAGGGAGGGCTAATAAGGAGGCGCGAGGACGCGGACGGAGGCACGGTATGACGTTTGCATTCTGCGGTAGCACCCTGATGTTTTCAGTGCATGATAATACGTCAATTGCTAACGCGTACTGTGTTGAAGATCGAATCTGTCGGGAAAATAAGCTTGGGGTCACGTTTCACCTTTTCAGGCGGCGTGCGCTCCAGACAAGCAAGCCACCGAAAGACGAAACGGCAACTTTGAGATATTTAGTGAATTTCACTCCACACGGAGAACGTCAAAAAAACACGGCCAAAGGGTGTCCCTCAAACTACTAAGCTGAATTGTGTCGCTCGCGGGAGGGTGTGTTACTTAAAAGACGAAGCAAAGTGTGGGTAAAATCTCAGTGAAAAGAGGCAACCGAGGAAATACCTAAGAGGGTTGATTAACTAGTTATTTTATCTAGATAAGGTTGCCCTTCTTCTCGAAGTGTGCCACTCCATAGAGACCGTTGAAAGGCCTCCGAGATGACAGTTTTCTATGAACCAAACTAATCCAGTGGCGAGGAACTTTTCTGCCATCGTGAAACAAGCAAGCAAGGAATAGGAGACTCTGGCTTGCAGTGACCAAACTCTCTCAGGCAGTTCATCGTCCTTCTCACACCGTCTTAGCGATTTGTTGAAACCAAGTGATTTCGATTAGTCGACAGCACACGCGTAGTCTAATGAAACAGGGTGAACCATAGTGGCCGTCCATGAATCGGGGATTATACTTCAATACAAATCCACCGTTCGTCTCTCGTAGCTAAACCTCCTCCTCCTTGATTCCCAAGGGACATGCAGTGCTACGTTTCAAAGGTAGTGCATTCTTTTCCGCTCTAAGACAAGAATCAAGATCAAGCAAACCAGGAACTAATTTATCATCGTAAGATCACAATTCTGCATCATGCAAATGACATCCATTTTCAAGGTAATGGACGGGTGGATGTATTTTGCATGTTGACATGAGTTTGACCGATGTTTTCAGCGCGTTGACTTCGGGCTCGCATAGAGCACTGGTTTGTTTAACAAGCACTGTACAACTCTTCGTACCATCAACATATCCTCGAAACCACAGCGCAAACAGTATGCTAACAGCACCTCCTGAATGTATTGGAGTAGGATGCGTTCGTCGACCACTTGCTGATTCCACAATGGTTGGGTCATTCAAAGAGACCTTTGATCGACGGGTCCAAACTTGCCCAGTGCTCGTGAGATCGAAATAAATAGTGGGCGAAACTCTCTTTTTGATATGTATTCCATATTTCTGGGACAATATGTCAACATGCCCCCAACTCTGCAGGATGGTTTAGCTAGTCCCCATGAAGAGGCTAGCCCATTGCATGGGCTGTGTTTCAGTGTGGGCCACTAGTTCTTCGGACAATGGGCCAAATGGGGACATAAAACATGCTATATGTCCCACATAGCTGCCTCTTCATCTGCATTGGGTCCGGAACGACGATGCTGTGCACAGCCTTCCCTTTAAACATCGGGACAAATTCGATAAACTGTCAAAGGCCATCACAGCCTTACTTTGGGAAACCAGCTTATCGCAAGGTTCATGTGAAGTCTCCTGTCAGATGGCGGTTCGGCTGTGCTCCATCCTCGCCTAATACCAAAGCAATAAATCTCATAAATGCCGCTCCATCAGCGCCCCCAGAACCAGCTTCACAGCTTTCTCTCCATTTCCGAACTCGTCCCAGGCCTCTTTTGAACCCTTTTTCGACAGTCCACGGGCCCCTATTCATTGATCTTTGCCCATATCCATCTCTACCGCGGCCGCGACTGCGACTTTGGATCGAACGTCCCATCTCTATCCATTCTTCCTCGAGAGTGATTCTATGAATATCACGTAGACGAGAACGTAGGGTTGGATGCTGGTTGAACAATTCCTGTAGCCCCTGCGATTTCCCCAGCTGCGCGAACCCCGAATTTATTCTGAGAGAATTCGACGGAGCATCCTCCATTGTTGCAATACCACTGTCCTGGCTTATCTCTCTTGTTTCGCCAACTGATCCCGCAGTAGAAATTTCATTCTGGGCGTAATTTGTTTGGAGTGACTGCACTGGTCTTGGGTTGCAATTTGGCTTGTGCGCTTGTGAGCAATTTAAAGAACAACTGGAGGGTGTTTCAACGCGTTAAGCTCACAGTTCTTCAAGCAAGTAGAATATCGCTTGCTCACCTCTGAAGGTCACAAGCAGGGCAACGGTATTTAAAAGGTTGGCTGCTGCAGACCTGGCACAAGGACATCATGGCAATATCATAATAATCTTTGTGGGGAGTAATATGGTGCTTGGGTAGTGTTGGGACGTGATTGTAGACCAGGAGGAAGCAACTGATGCTGGGCAGTTTGCTCTGCAGAAGCTTTCGCAACAATCTTCTTGCGTGATGCGTCCTTTCGCTCTCCGTATGCAGCCGCTCGGCTAAGCAGCCGAAAGCCGAGTTCCAATACGATTAGCGTAGCACCGAGGTTTCCGCTAAGCCTTTCTAGGTGTGGCTCGAGCTGTGCAGGGCTGTCGAGCTCCCGTTGAACATGCAACCCAATATCCTGCACAAAAGTCTTCTATAAAGCCATTCAACATCGACACGGTCCCAATCTGCCTTTTTCTCGGGGACCCACACATTATACCCTCCGGGCAGTCACAATGTCCTCCCAAATCAGCATCCAAACACGCTCCATCTACCGCTCTATTCTCCGCGAACTCCCCCAGCGCCCGCTCTCCTCCCCTTCGCCCCTCCAAAAACGAATCCGGACATACCTAGCGAACCCAGAGGGCCAAGCACCCGCAGACCTTGCACAGGCCCGTATCGAGGAAGTGGAGCAATTCAGCCAATACCTAAGAGCCCAGAGGCAGTATACAACTTTACTCGAACGGTATAACCCTGGTGCAGATGTGGATGAGCAGGAACGCGTTCGGTTAACGGCGAGAAGAGTGGGAATGGATTTACCGGTGGGGTCTAAGGATGCGAATGCTGGTAATGAAGGGAAGTCGTGATTTCAGGAGCTAGTTCGTGCATTTTGTTTGTCGACGGGATGTATTGTACAGGACATACATTCACACATACGATTACAGTCTCTTTTCCCTTTGGGCTTGACCGCGATGGGATGCTTCAGGACAGGGAGTTATAGTCGTTGTGGGATACTTCGTGCCCTATTTTGACAGAATGCGCTGCAGTACTGTTCATGGGAGGTATTCTTAGAACCGACTTGACCCTATCCTCGACGGGGAAACTCGATTGGTACACATGAGGCATCTATCGATTCTAAAGTTTGGAGACATGATCCTAGTTGCGTGCATTAGCTTCCTGCCATGCGATGTACAAGTTCTCCGACAGAGTTTCCGATATTAAGGCTTCTTCAAATGGGAATGGCAAAGATATAGATTTATACGCTATACCAATGACCAAGACATAATATCCGTCCGCCAAACGCCAAAGATTAGATGCCAGATGTTAAATGCTAGATATCAAACGCACAAATGCTGAAGGGAAAAAAAAAAAAATCATCCAAACTATGAGGCACTCCGCGAGCACCACCAAACCATTCTAAAAAGCATGCAAATTAACCTCGAGCAGCCGCTCGAGTCACCAGTTTCTCCGCATAAGAATTCGCCGCTGAGCTAAAGAATCTTGTAAAAAGGTTCCCATTGGTAATCGCTCCCCCGGTCTTCGCTCGCTTAGTATGCTGTTGCTGAACGTCACCGTATCCCGGCAAGACTTGTGTTTTAGCTTTTGGCTTGATACTATGAATGGTAACGTAGCTAGACAACGCTGAAGGGCTATGTTTCGAATCGTCAAGCATGACGTCTGTAGTGGAGTATGTGCTAAAGCTAGCAGGAGTTCCTCGTGAACTAGGAGCAATGCTAGAGGATCTGGATGATGAGCCGTGGATGCTAGCCTCGTAGGAGAGGCCCGGAACATCCCTGAGGGAGGGCGGGGACCTCGACCGACCACCACCATACGAAGATTGGCGACGCTTGTGACAGTGGATATAAGAACCGGAGTAGCTGGACATAGACATAGGAGAATCGTAAACTCCCCTGGATGGAATCCGATAGTGGGAACGTGGTGAAACACTCCGAGAACTGGACTTCTGGAGCATCGATGCTTGAAGTTGCCATTCACCCTGGATAGCAGCTTCCACCTGATCCTGCAACTGAAGACGATCTCTAATCGGGGCGAGGAAGGGCTCAAAATGGTCGAAAAGGTCTTCTTCTCTGACTCGAGTATCCCAGTCAAGCAAGGCAAGCAACTGACGTTCCATTAGATTGACTTCCGGCAAGGAGAATCCAAACCCCTCATAACTATTTAGAATAGTATAACGCGCCCAATGCTTATTCTTAGGGCTTGAGTCATTAAGATTCTTCGCGGCAAGGATGAGAGAGGCCAAGAAGATACGGTGAGGGGTGCATCGCATTCCTTTAGACATTGGAGGAAGCTTTGCACGCAATCTGGCCAAAAACACCAGCGATGTCATGAGCGTTGGAACCTCGACGTGGGATCGCTTGACTAAGTTGCGGATAAATGAGTCGACGGATGGAAGAGCAGGCTGGGACGAGGTGGTGGCACCAGGCCGGGGGCTCTCTGGAGGAGTGATGGGCTGGCCTCGGTTCTGCGTGGGTGGCATAGCATCATCTCCGCACTGGAGAACCTCAGACGCCTTCTGAGCCAGATACCGGATCATATCGTTCGAAACAGGCATCATAATAAATTCGTTCATGGCCTCCCGATCATAACATGAAGTTGTTCTCTCCATGGTTACAGGCATCGTTCTGGAAAGAGAGAAAGAATAAACAAAAAGCTGGAACTCCTGAACGTTGATAACAGTTGTCGACTTTTTGTGAACGGTAGAAAATGCAATGTGCGAATTCGAATCAGATAGATAACCAAAGCAAGGATGGTATTTGGGGAAAAAGAATTCGAAGGTTCGTCCAACTCCGGATGAAACCAAATGTAGAGAGTATTAGATTATTAGGTCGAAGGTGATATATTAAGGGGATCAATGCGAGGTGTCCGGCCAGCGGGATGATTCGACAGTGTGATTGTGCAGTGAAGATTGAGTCTTAATCTTTCAGCACCCTAGAGGCATACATGTCAGAATAATCTTGTCTCGCATTGACGGGGTGTCGTCTGTGGCCACACGGCGCCGGCAGGCGGGGAAGGTGTTGCTCAACGGACCTTGTATGAAAATAAGCGACCGATTATGCCTTTTGAGCCCTGGCAATGTGGGACCAGAAGACGAATAGACCGTTGGTGTATTCCAGATACACCGGCTGTAATGCCAAAGAGCAAGTGATCAAGATAAATGAACGAAGAAATAAAAAGAACGGTAAGGAAATTCGTTAAAGGAAAACCGCTCAACAGGATATGAAAGGGCACATGGGATGAAAGCATGTGGACAACCCTCGTGAAGCGGATAGTTGAGGCGAGGTCATCAAGCCCATAATATAGAAAGCGGGAGAAGACAAGCAACGAGCAGTTCGTCAGAAACAATTCGCATCTGGACCAGAATACATATTTTGCAGATGCTGGGTACCGGGGCCAGGCGGCTGCTGGATCAGAAGCAGCGCCAAAAATCATCGTCTCCAACTGCAGACAGAAGGTGGAAGAGGACCATGGTTGGATATGGAGCGACGAGAGAGAAATCCCCAACGTGAGCAACGTGATTGGGGCAGCACAAATAAGATTACGCGCTGTGGTGGAGGGCGACGGGGTCGTGTAAGGGGTTTGTTTGACATGACCTATTAATATGTGCAATCACGCGTTGCTCTTTGGTGGACGAGCAGGTGGACGCTTTAGCGCCGTGGGTTGTTGGCACGAAGATCATTCGCGGTGAGCAGTCTGGATAAAAGTTCAGCCCAGGGGTTTGAGGTGTTTCAAGCTTGCGGCTTGGGGTTTATTTCCAGTCCAACCAGCTTGAGCAGATCTCACGAGGTGAGGGAGTGCTCTCCCTTCTGGCTGAAGTCTGGATTGACCGCTTGACTTCCAGGTCGCCCAATAGAACGCCGTGGTAGCGGTCGTTGCACCTTGTCCTGCGGCGACTTGATGCCTCGCCGCCCACAACACACGGATAACCCACGGGTCTGAGCAAACAGTTTTGCCTTTCCACCATGGCTGGAAATCCTCAAGTCGCCATTGACGCGTTCGGAATCGGCCAGCAACAAAGTTTAAACTTCCCACCTCGAATCGCTGACTTGACTCCTGTCTGAAGTAAAACAAACAAGGACGCCCCCTATTCATTGGCGAGCCGGACCCCTGGCCGTGCATGGTACCCATATTACTCCGTACTGTACGGAGTACATGCAAGGACTTTTCTGCTCCAACCTCCGAAAACTTATCGGATTAATATCCATACAGATGACAGCTCATGTACGGAGTACAGTGCATCCGGATAATACTAAATTCAAGCTGTTGGGTGGGAGTACGAGCGCGAATGTTATGGCTGACACTTATCATCATGCACCAGATCATCAGAGTCGCAATGACCTTCTTGTCGTGATCTCTGACCCTTCGGCATCTCGCACGTCCATCAGGGATTTGGTTTGGATTCTCGCCTCGCTTCTAACCATGTTTGGCACACGATGCTTACAGCCGTCCCCTCATCCCAGTTCCATTTCCTTGCATACACTCCCTGCATTCCTATCCAGCGCTTCCACCTCACCCCGATGGAAGTGTTATGGAATCCTCAGGAACGGAGAACCTTCCTGGTTTGGGCGGGCCCCCCGGGCTCTATTCGTCTTCGGAGTTCGGTAATGCAGTCCCCCATGCCTTTTATTATTCATGTAAAGGAGGGACCTGTGATTTTCCCCATCCGGCCTAGTCCTGCTCCGCTAGACCCGTTCTAGCATGGTGCACTTGGCGGCCGCGCCGTGCCTGTGCGTGCGCCGAACAGCTATATAAGGTGCTGTCCTGCTCCTCGCGCTGCTTCAACCACCACACTTTCCCTTCCTCCTTTCCACTTTCCTCCCTCTCCATCTCTCCACCTCCGTGCCTGCGCCGCCACCTACCTGTTTCTCTTTTCTCCCTGGATCCCGGGCCTTCGCGAAGCTGCGACTCGCTTGCTTGCGCAGAGTTGGGCACGGACACCGCAGGAATTGGGGACAGGGACAGGGCCAGGGCAGGCTCAGCTGAGGCCTCGCGTACGAGAGATCATGACGCGCTGGTGTTAGATCACACTGCGCCGCGGAGATGGCTTGCCATTTCCAGCCCCGACCGATCGAGCAGAGCCCTCTATCCAGACAGGGAGGGGGGGCGACTTGGTGACCCGGAGACAATCATCACCCTTGCCTGGGGATCGCAGAAGCGAGCACGGCAACGGGATTTCCTGCCTGCGCAGACCGGTGATCACAGTCAATGACGGTCAATTGCCTCCCACCATAACTGCTTGTACGCTGGCGTGCAGATGTGGTCATGCCGGCGAGCTCGCTTGGGCGATGCTGTGCCGCAAAGACGGGATGGTCCTGGCCTCGAAATGCAAAGATCATGGTGGCATACATAGAATGCTCACTTCTGGGCCTTTGCACACGCAGGGGTTCACTCAGCCAGCCAGGCGTTCTTGTCCGGTTGGTGCTAGGATAGGAAGGGGTGTGCTGGTCCTGTGGCCCCGGCTGGATGTCTCCTCTTCCCCCGTCTTCTCTGGTTCCCCAGAGACCTAGGAGCAGAGCCAACCTAGACTATTGAGGCAAACACGTCTACCTCCTTTCACTACGATCTTATCCCCGGATTGCATTGCGACGCTCAAATCGGCCGGTCGTTACGATAGACACACGCAAGGAAAAGATAGATTGGAGGCATGGGCGATTTGCACAACGAGGGCTATTCACTGGAGGCGTGTCATTACCGGGGATGCTCACAAGGGCAGGAAGCACAGGCGACTGAGAACTGAGGCACAGCGTCCAGTGCCGTTCCCAGCAAGACAGGGAATCCTTGTGGAGGGGGACGGGCGAATGGGAGGGGATAGCATTGTCTAGGCTCCTCCTGAGGCCAGAGAACCCGGGGGGGGAGGAATTTGATTGGAGTTCATGCAGCAGGTGGTGTGCGAGCCTTTCTCAGTGTGAGAATTGTTCCGGGCGAGCTGAGAGAAACGGGGGAGAAGGTTGGCTGAGGCCAGGAAAGTGCTTGGGTAGAAATAGAGCAGTTTCCTCCAGCAAAATGGCTCTCTCTTGCCTTGCCTTTTCCAACTTCTGCTGAATCTTCCCCGATCTCATTCCTTCCAGCTTTTCTGGGGTCCGAAGATGGGTCCCCTGAGGTCTTGGTATCCTGTTGAGTATGTGGATCTCACTGGTGACTCCGATGATGAGACCAGGAGTCTGAACACAAGGTGTGTGTCGGAGGACGAACAGTCCGTCCAGGCCATGTGAAATGTGGGTTCCATTGAAGCTCCCGCTGCTTATGGTATGACCCTGTGCCTTGGATAAACCAGGCTGACTCTGAGCTGACTGCTGCAGATGGTGACAAGGGCGTGAACAGCATCGACAAAACCACTGCTGATGTGATGATTGCCTGCCCATGCGTATCTCCTGTCCATGGAATGGAATTGGCTTCTCAGGAGCCAGGTGTGAGCATCTCTGCTTCAACTGAGCCTGCCTCGCCGGTTCAACAGCGTGTTGTCTGGGAAAAGTCAATACGCGGCCGCCTGGAGCATGTGGACACTGGTGGTTATGTGGATTCTCTGCATCTGGTGATATTTCCCCTGGAGGACGGGCACGACCTCCCTCGAGGAGTGCACGACTCACTGTGGGGGCGTCCCAACAATTTTCCTGCCGCCGCGGCGCTCGGAGGGAGCACTGACTTGATCCCCGACATTGTCCAACCTGCAGAGTCCCATTCGAACCGCGACACCCCAGTGCCTGGAACCGTCAGCCCCTCCGGCCTGCTTCTGAGCACCGATCCCACGGCCGGGTCTGCGCGTCCCTCAGTCGGGCGGGTGGCGCTGCCGCCAGGTGATTACAGTGCCCTGAGCGAGTGCCGTGCGACGCGGCTGTCCCTTGGGGTCGCGGGGCGGGCTCTGGAAGTCTGTGCTTTGGAGATAGACAGGTTTGGGGGATGTGTGTTTCCACTGCAGCAGAACCAGGGGTCGCGATTTGTTGGGGATATCGATCTGCCGGCGGACTGCAACTATGACAGTGCGGAAGACTGTTGGCTGGTGGCATGTTGGCTTTGGCTGGCCGAGTCTATGATGAAAGAGCGAGAAGATACCCTTTGTTGTGGGGATTCTGTGCCCCCTGTTGGTGGCATGGACGGCATCGATCTGGGCGTGGAGGAGCAGGTCTTTGGGCAGCCAGAGCCACAGAACTTGATGGGAAAGAAGAGGAGGAGGGCACTGAGACCAGTGTGTTCGAGTAAGCGGCAACGGCATTCTTATTGATGTGCTATTTTCTTGTCAATATACTGAGTGTTTACATCCAGCACTGCTCCATGGGTGATATCCCTCAAGGTAACTTTGGTATGAGAGGCGGATGATAGGCCTTCTAATCTGATGTTCAGTTCGCGTCGGGAGACCATGGCAGTATCCCAGGTTTCCTGAGCTGGCAGATAGGCGTGTGCCTCACACTCTGCATGAGCACATCGCTCGTTTTCTCTTTACTCTGGCTTAGAAGATGTGAAGTTGGAGCCTCAGCCGCGACTCCATGCCAATCCAAGTCCAAGGCAGGAGAAGGAGAGACCACCCTCCCCAATGACAAAACATTTCACACATTGATTTCATGCCCCGTGCTTACAGTGAAATGAAATGGAAGCACCAGGAGCCTTGAAATCATTTACTACATTCTGTTGCAGGCAGAGCTCCACAGTGGCATATATCAGTTTCCTTTGGAAGGCTAGTGGAAAAACACTGACAGGAACTTGAAGATCTTTGTCTGTGCCTTGATTTTAACTGTCTGTGGTTCTTTGGTACAGTGACAGCAACAATGAAGAGGATGACTATGATGAGGAGGATGAGGCATGACCAGACTTTTGTAATGTGAGCGGACCTAGTATCAAAAGACAAACAAAATAAATTATTCCCAACAAAATAGGCCTATCAAGCCAATCTCACAGAAAGTATCCAAACTCATCAGAAAACCCCAGGCAGCAACCTCGCGCATCAGAATCCGTCTGCATGCATACCTCTGGCCTGGTGCTGAACCTAGTCTTGAAATATCTGTGGCTATCTCTACTAGTAGGTTATTTCGCCAGGTGAGCACTTCATCCCGGACGCAAGTCCCCTTTCTCTCTTACAATGCGCAAGGGTTTCTAATATGCTTCTGTGCTTTTTTCCATGGCAGGACGTGCTGGGACGAGAATCCTGCGCCTAGGAAGTACAAGGGATGCGGACATACGGTGAAAGAGCCGGCGCAGCCACGCGTGGTCTGGTGCCCCGAGGCTTCACGGAGCGGTAGCCAGTGCGACGTGGTAAAGAAATCAAGCAAGGCCAGCAGCACTACGAAGCGCAAGTGTCCCGAATGCCGTGAAAAGGAAGATAAGAAGAAGGACGATGAAGGTACCGGTGCTGGAGGGACGGGTTCCTCTACAATCGCGAGCGGCATCTCGATCGCGACACCTGCGTAGGCAATCTACGTTTGGAGTAGAAGTTTCGTCAAAAATATGCGTCGGAGCTGGAGAAATAAGCTATAGGATGCTTTGTCTGCTTTTCCAGAGCCTATGGCGGAGGTATCTATATTCCACCGGGACATTTCTATGACGACTCAAAGACCTGGACGTCAAGACAGATCAAGAGAGACCTTATGAAAATTAACGATCTCCACCATCATAAGATAGCATTGAAGCCACGGATATTTGTAGGAAGTAAATATTAAAGGGAAGCGGCAAGCTCTCCGCGCATGTTGAAAAAAGAAAATTTGACAGAGAAAAATCAGGTCAGGTATCACATTCAAGGAGACGATATGATAACGACAAAACCCAACTCCGTCATTAAATCACCCGGAACTCCAAAACATTCTTGAAAAAAGGTCGAGGATCAATGACATCCAACCTCTTGCAAACAAACTATTAGGTGTCGATGGTTGAAAAAGTGCGAGGACCTCATCATGGAGCTCCTTGGAAGATCGATACTGGCAAGACCAGCATTTTTTAATAATTTCGCCCCAAGGCCCAAGACCATCTAACTTAGGCAAGTCCTCGATTGGGGGGGGCACCCAGTCATGGTGAGCAAGGTCGTTGTGGTACGACTGCCACAACATGATGGAGTATATTATGCATCCCAGGTGGAAGATGTCAACCTGCACAGTCGTGCCATCATCGTTGGCTGTCGTGATATCCGTGTCCGGTGGGAAAACACTGGCCTGTCCGAAATCTATCATCTTGAGCGTCAACAAATCGTCCGTGAGCAGAAAATTCCGAAGGGCAATATCGTATACCAGCACTTTGCTGACATGGTGGAGATGGTGGATAGTGCTGATTGCAGACAAGATCCACGTTGTCTTGATGGATTCGTCGACCTCTTTCTCTTCCGTGATATATCGCTCGAGATCGCCCTTCTTGTAGCAAACAAGGAGGATTCCCTCGTCGAGGATATCCACGCACTCTGCGACTCCATCGCACTCGCGCCCGACCCGCTTGTACACCTCTTTCTCTCGCTCAAGCGCCTCCCGATTGCCTTTGTTGTAGTATTCAGCACGTCTGCGTTCCTTCTCGTCGAGGAGTGTGAGATTCAGGATCTTGGGCGCCTTGAGCGCGTGCGTGCCGCACTGGTACACGAAGGCCTCGGAACCGCAGCCGAGATGATGTTCATAGCGGTAGCTTGAGCATCCGGGTAGATGTAGGCCATTGGTCTGCTTGCACTTGAGCGCTTGCAAGAGGAACCGTGTGGTGAGGAGGGTGTTGGTGTGCGTGAAAAAGGGATGTCGGAGATATGTTGATCCGGTTTGGTGTCTTTTTTGTTAGGTAATCCAACTAGCACCTCGCTCACGTGACCCATATAGATTAGCTGAGATTCCCCTAGGGGGTGGTATCAAGACACTAGTCTCTATGTAGTTAGTCTCCAGCTTAGTGGCTTGGATCTTCTTTGATCTGATGCAGAGTTTCCATCTCACTTCTCATCCCACTATCCTAGGATGAGACAGCAAGAGCACACACATCTATCAAGTTCACATTCCGTGGTTCCTATAGCTTCTGCATATGGTTAGTAGCCTCGTAGCTCCTTCGAGACATGGTGGGCTAGCGGACAACAGATGGGTACCTGTGAGGTGATGGCGGCCGCCAGAATGGGTGTGAAGAGAGAGTGGGTGTGAGAGAAGCCCGGCATATTGCAGGGTCAAGAGGACAACAACTGACATTGGAATGGAGGAGGTGACCCATTGCATTTTATGTGAAGTCTACTGCCCTGTCCTGGGATCAACAACGGTGGTTCAGTCATGATAGATGGTGGTGTGTGTTAAAGCGGCATGATGTGGAGTGGATGCTTGGACCAAGCAGAAAAGGTCGATGTGGAAATGCCACAAAGTGATCCTAAAGGCCACGGAATCCCATGGCCATCCTCTTGTGTACCTCCATTTAAGATGTAATCCTTCAACTTGCTTTTCAGCCTCGCTGAAACATCAGGTATTGGTGGTACCAGTTCCTCAGAGGATCGCTCTTCCCTAGATCTGATTTGTGCAGCGCGCGAAGGCCTAGTTGCGCCCTGTAGCTGTGAAGAAATCATGCGGTATTTGCCAATTTCCGTACACCGAGGAGTTACGAGGATCTTCAATCCTTCTGTGCCACCAGTGTCACAACACCGCAGTTCACTGGTGTTCCTGCGGCGTCTCTCGAAGCAATTTACTTCCAAACGCCCTCACGCCCCCCTCAGGTAATGACCGACAACCTTTCTACCATGTAAGAAATAGAGTATCGCTTAAGATCCTCCTTGCAGCTCTCTCCAGTAGGTCGAATCCATCAGCCGTGATATATGCACCCGATACTAGGAGAATCAATGTTGGGACACTGAGCTCACACCACAGTCGAGCTTCCGATCAGCGCAAAAGACGACTGCGGTATCCCATATTTATATAGCATCATACGTTATATCATGAGCAAGAGTGAATCTCCAGGGTCGCCTTTCCCCAGCGCCAAAAAGACCAAAAGACCAAAAAAAAAAAAAAACACCAGGGGTCCTGGTGAAAACCCCCAGTTCTTCGGGGGTTTTTTTGGTCCTTTTTTTTTTGTTCCCTTAAATGATTCTTCATGAGATCTCAAGTAATTTTTCAAACTTTTTCAAGATTCTCTTCAGGATGCGCAGCGTAAGTCTCGAACTTCAGCCCTTGGCGTGGGCTACCAGCGGTCGTGCCGTTCGACCGTGGCACTGCCATCCGAGACTAATATACCTTTTTTTGCTTGACGAAGTTATTGTTTTACTTCCAGCTTGGCAAGAAACGGAAGCTTGTTGCAGTACCTCTGCTTGGCGCGCCCGAGCTGCCTCTATTTTATCTTATATTTTGTTCTCATGCCCGGTCACCATGTATAGGTGCGTACAGTAGTTACTACAGATCAACTTCTCACAGTGTGTAAGGAGAAGCTGGCTCTGAGCCTCCATGCCACTGTCAACCCTACAACCAGCAGGTCTTCCAATGGGTCTACTTACCAGAAACTCCCGAACAAGATCAACACCTGTGACACCAACCATGCAGATATCATGGCATTCTTGGACTGGGTGGACTTCCCAAAACGAACACCTCTTCCCAATTCACCTCCGTCAACCCCCTTGAATCAGTTTGTACGAATGATTGCCGACACCAACCTCAATATCAAAACTGATCGCGCCACGATTGTGCGTGGAATTCGGCAATTCTCTGTACTCTGGCTCCCGATTGGGAGGATTGGAGGCAGTAGGTTCCTCCGCATTGTCCCATGCATCTATGGCTTGCGTCCGGAGGTACCACCTCTTCTTGATTTTGACGACATCTTCCCGCAGTCAGTCCTTGGCGTAGATGACAACATCCGACCAGGCACAGCTTTCCATAGCTGTGGCGAAAAGTTGCCTGGTGGAAAAGCTAACTTGAGTGGACCAGGTGATCTCGACGCTGGTGGATTCAACTGCTTCCAGCTCGAAATTTTGCAATCTTTGGGAGGTGAAATTGATAAACCGCTCTCGTATGAAGATGCTGACGAAGGAGAATGGTGTTCTACTAGGTTCTACGCCGTTGTCAGATTCGGCCCAGATGGTCTTGAGAGAGGTATTTACGCTATTTTGAATTGCTTTCGCCCTGATGATGAAGATAGTGAACATGACTTCACGCCTGATCATGGACATACCTGCTGCGATTATCTCCTAGTTAGCGGCCGGTTCGCATCTAAGCGATTTTCGCTAGCCGAACTCCCTGATAACATCCAGGACCTCGGTTTTTCAAAGGCTTTCGAGCTCAAGTTGTGCGGCACCGTGTCGATGTCGTTAGGGCGATCCAGATTGCGGAGGGAGTGATCAAGCGAGGAATAGGTGAATAAATGCTGATTTAGATTGGTAGCTAATAATTTGCTCTCGATTCGGGACTTGCAGTTTGCCTTTTGTCTAGATTCCTCTTGGTGCTTCCCTCAACATTCATATCGGGGATCCCTATGTATATGATATTTCCTCATGAATGAATGTTTCTTATCATTTTCTGCTCTTGCGCCGATTAAATTCTCATACATCTACTCACAATCCACCGGTTGTCACAACGAGTTTCTGCGTTCCTAAGTCAGATACTGATCAATCAGATATCCAAGCAGACGAGAGGCATCCGGAACGTAGCACATTAAGATTTCCAGGGCAAATCCTACTAAAAATTTTTGATGTTCAAGTTTCTGTACACGAGATGGATCAAAAATAGGAATGAATAGTAGTTGACTACGTTTCCCGTGTCATAGTACAACAGTTCCGGTTTCTGTAATTCAGGATGCTGGTATACACATGTCACATTCGCAAGAAAGAATTTTGATGCCATGCTGCGCCTTGGAACATAGCAGGCGCAAAATCAAGCATGTTGCAGTATAAGGCAAGCCAGAATGCATATTTCTCCATTTCCATGTAGGTATGGATGCTGGTCAACATGCTTTGCGTCAGAATCAGGTTTAGGTTCTTAGATGTTCTATAGAGCTTTTTCCTTGTCAAAGAGTTCTATGTATAAATCTTCATTTATTCCTTGTCCTTTTCCAAAGAACGAGCAAGAACATACTTGCAACAATATATGAGACGCCAGCGAAGACCTGTGGATACAGATACTCTCTCCCTGACTCAGGTCGGCGGAGCTTTAATGCGATTACCTCAGCGACTAGAACCAATTGTTAGTTAATATATACATCAAATAGTATGTTCGGAGAGGCAATGGATATATAAAACGTTTCAATGAGAGGTGGAGCCGTACACATTGTTGGAAGAACAACAGAGAGCCATGATAACGAGAGTAGTGACTGAAGCTCTCTCAGCCCCGCGATCTCAACGCAAAGCGGGCCGATGGCCTGATATCGAATCAGCTTAATCCGAGACTTTCAAAGAAGAGCGGCTCCTTACAACCCAAAAGACACCCAACATTCCACCACATAGCAGCGCGAACAATATCAGCACGCCATAAAGGGTGCCAGGGAGCCAAATTGCGAAGCATATGATGCCGCAAAAAAAGGTCAAGGAACCTGCTACTTGCACCCTTCCAAACCGATCGCTTGAGATACCAATTAGTGGACGACCGATGGCCGTGCCGAGGTTCAGCATCGCATTCACGGACGCCGCCTGGGGTTTCGAAAGCCCGATAGAGCGCGCATAATCAGGCAACGAATACAATAGTGTCATATAGCCGAACATGGAAACAAAGGCCCAGGAAACGACCAACAGCACGTCAGTGCGACGGAGCAGCTTCGTATCAAACCCGCGCTGGGGTGGTTGTATCGCTTCGTTGCGATGTTTAATCAAGGCAATAGAAATTGACAGCATCACAGTAACGACGATAGCAGTAATGCGAAAAGCCCAGGACAAAGAGAGTTTCCTGATAACCGCCTCAGTGGTGAAGGAGAACATCAAGCCCCCGAGTCCAGAGCCAGCGCCGCATATTCCATTTGCCAGGCTCCGTTTCTTATCGAACCATTGAGAGATAATCGCCACATTAGGTATGTAAACCAGTCCAATTCCCAAGCCGACCATAACTCCTTGTGAGATGTAAAGCTGCCAAAGTCGTTTCACGAACGATGCAGCAACGAAACCACTGACAAGGAAAACTACACCTAAACCCATCGTAAACCGGGCTCCAGTCTCACGAGCAAGGATTGTGACGAAAGGAGCAAATATCATGGCCACTGAGAAGTTGAATCCACCAATCAGGGCGTAGTCAAGCGGCCTTGCCTCAGGGAACCTGTTATGCGACAGATATTCTGCGAGATAGACGCCATATGTCTATGATAGATAGTGTCACAAGAATTAATAATGAATGAAAAGGATTTGGGCCACAACAGGGTTGACACGAAGAATAATGGTGAACGATTGAGACATACCGATATAATGCCCCATGTGAACCAGCTCAGTGTAAAGCAGGCGGCAACAATAACCCAGCCATATCCACCATCAGGCGGTGGTGATATATCTGGCTGAGGTCCAACATCCTCACAGATTTCATTGGAATCTTCGTTGCCCATCTAGAAAATAGTTTTATTCCCCTGGAATGTAGGGTATTGTTCCTAGATATCACAGCTCTAGAGGGACAAGAATAGGGATTCTAAACCAACAAAATGTTATTCCTGTCGTCCAGAATCAAGAATCGAAGAGAATATCGCACCATCCTCCACCTGCAGGTGCTGCATTGACGGCTTATTCCCTTTCGGCTTCTTACTAGTCTAGAAATGCCGGATTTACGAAGCCGGTATAGTCCCGACAAAGGAACATTTCAGTGATCCCCATTTGTTTCCTCGCAAATTCCCCAATAACGAGTCGACAGAGTGATGAGGGGGAGACGGGGAGCCACTGCGGGGAAGCATAGACCTTCTGACCTTGCGACCGCAGCGCGATGGAGATGCGCGGGGAACCATCCCCAAAGGCACAACCGGCTGGTATCCGGAGGCCTAGTAACGTGAATATAACTGTCACTGCCCCCAAATTGGTCTGAGTTCCTGTTTGCTCCCCGATGGCCGATGCTGGGCAACGAACAGCCGTCAACCGCGATATCACGTGGGTGCAGGGAAGGAAACTTTCCATTAAAAACAATTTGATGGCCTGTGTTAGGCTCAGAGACGGTGAACTTTGGCGGGCAGTTACCTGGTGATGATTGGTCGGAGCTTCAACGCAAAGAGCTACGAAAATTTTCTGCAGCCAATCAGCATGAAGCAGTGACATATCACCATCTGGAAGGAAATGGAATGTCGATATTATTTATTGCTTGCTGGCAGCGGAGACTATGATGATAGCTGGATAATCTTCGAAGGGTATTGCAGAGACGGGCTCAAATACTGAACCTTTCCATAATCTCGTTAATCTCATCTACAATGTCGCCAATCGATGAGGAAGTCGTTCGCGATGCTACTAAACCGGAGACCGTGGACAGCTGCGACCCCGAGAAGCAAGGCGGGACATGTGTTCATGGAAAATCGGTCCCAGAGTCTCTTTTCAAAGGGCTGGGTATCATAGATCGGTTTCTGGCCGTCTGGATATTCCTCGCCATGGCAATCGGTATTATCCTCGGAAATTTTGTTCCAAATACCGGCCCAGCATTGCAAAGGGGAACTTTTGTTGGTGTCTCCATACCTATAGGTCGGTGAATGCTTTTCTCTCTCCCCTTGAACGTCTAGCTTGAGCTTTGGTAAGCTGAACTCTGAGCTAATTCAATCCAGCGGTCGGGCTACTCGTTATGATGTATCCCATCTTGTGCAAAGTGCAGTACGAGACTCTGCACCGAGTTTTCAAAACGCGAGAAATCTGGATCCAAATCGGCTTTAGCATCGTTTTGAACTGGATAATTGCGCCACTTTTTATGGTAAGAGAATTAGCTCTATGTTTTCAAGGAATATTTTGCTGACTCCACGACTGCGAAGTTGGGTCTCGCGTGGGCTTTTCTTCCCGATGAACCTAAACTTAGGGAAGGTCTGATTTTAGTAGGATTGGCGCGATGCATCGCCATGGCAAGTCTCCCAAATGCGTCTTCTGTTTTAACGTCAAGATATTAACGGTGTATCAATATCAGGTTCTGATCTGGACCGGCCTTGCCGGGGGCGATAATGACTATTGCGCGATCCTTGTGGCGATCAACTCGTTACTTCAGATGGTTCTCTTCGCCCCGCTGGCCGTCCTATTTGTAAAAGTGATTAGCAATTCTAGCGACCAAGTCAGCGTCTCCTACTCCATCGTCGCCAAAAGCGTTGCTGTATTTTTGGGAATTCCTCTCGGAGCCGCCATCGTCACCAGATTCACACTTCGGAGTCTCGCCGGCTCAAAGTGGTATGACAACGTCTTCCTCAAATGGGCAGGACCATGGTCCCTCATTGGACTGCTATTCACCATACTAGTCCTCTTTGCCTCGCAGGGAGAGCAAGTAGTGCACCAGATCGTCTCTGTTGTTCGCGTGGCTGCTCCCTTAATTGTGTATTTTGTCGTGATCTTCTTTTGCACTCTGATCATGGCGTACCGACTGGGCTTCGGATACAAATTATCTGCGACTCAAAGCTTCACCGCGGCGAGTAACAATTTCGAACTTGCCATTGCTGTGGCCGTAGCGACATTTGGGGCTCAGAGTGACCAAGCTTTAGCCTCCACTGTCGGTCCACTCATTGAGGTTCCAGTGCTTTTAGGGCTGGTATACGTTGTGAAGTTCATTGCAAAAAGAGTTGGATGGAATGCCTAAATGCCATGGAGAAGTGCGTTTTCTTCTAACCCTAGAAGCAGAGATAGGAAACAATATGTAGATAATAATTAGCGGATGTATGCAGTGCATGTACGGAGTACTACGGAGCCCAAAACGCCGTGTTTGAGCTTTGCAGAGCGTTCCTGATGACTAAGAATTGATGTTCGCCCAACGGCGTTCTACGATAGCGAATTTTTGGTCGCTCTCCCAGTCTCCCCTCGTCGGCCGGGATCGTTTTCTGCAGAGCACCCCGTTTTCCTTTTATTCTTCTTCTTCTTCTTCTTCTTCTTCTTCTTCTCTCTTTCATATAGGTACTGTCAAATTTTGTTACTCAATATTTTATAATGCCTCCTACGCAGTGTTTTAACTGCAAGTCCGCCCGAGCAGTTATCATCAGGCCCAAAAACCGCCACAAGCTATGCAAGCAGTGCTTTCTTCGTATTTTTGAGACCGAAACACACGAGACCATTACACAAAGCGCTTTATTTTACCCGGGCGAACGTGTCGCCATCGGCGCCAGCGGTGGCAAAGATAGCACAGTCCTTGCCTCCGTCCTAAAGACCCTCAACGAACGATACAACTACGGGCTTGACCTTGTCCTCCTATCCATCGACGAAGGCATCAAAGGGTACCGAGATGACAGTCTGGAAACTGTCAAGCGGAATGCGGTCCAGTACGATATGCCCTTGGAGATAGTCAGCTATGGCGAGTTGTACGGGTGGACGATGGACCAAGTTGTCGCGGAAATTGGCAAAAAAGGAAACTGCACATACTGCGGGGTATTTCGTCGCCAGGCGCTAGATCGCGGAGCTGCGAAACTCGGCATTAAACATGTTGTCACGGGGCATAACGCTGACGATGTCGCTGAGACGGTGATGATGAATCTCCTTCGGGGTGATTTACCGCGGTTGGCCCGGGGAACATACATTGTGACGGGGTCATCGGCCAGTGAAATAAAACGCAGTAAACCCTTGAAATACGCTTATGAGAAGGAGATTGTTTTATACGCACACCACAAGAACCTCGACTATTTCAGCACTGAGTGTATATATTCACCTGAAGCGTTTCGGGGCAGTGCCCGGACGCTGATCAAAGATCTGGAAAAAATACGGCCAAGTTCTATATTGGATATTGTTAGGAGTGGTGAAGATATGGCCGAGTTGGTACCATCAGAGATCAGCACTTCGGCCACTTGTGCATCAAAGAATGCGATTTCGGCCAATGCTGAAGATGGGACTGAAGACTACTCGACTGGCGGGTGCGGAAGTCAAAATGGAAGGAGCAGCGGTCATGAAATGGCAGAAATGGAGAAACAACTTGCTGAGAACGAAGCGGCCCAGTCTCGCGAGACCGAGATCACCCTTGCGGCTCTCGGAAAGAACAAGAAGAAACAGCTCGCACGAACCAGCCGTCGCAATGGATCTGGTAGCCAGAAACCGTTGAAGGTTCAAACGATGGGGCAATGCGAACGATGCGGATACCTCTCGAGCCAGAAAATTTGCAAGGCATGTACGTTACTCGAAGGATTGAATAAAAGCAGGCCTCAAACAGCCGTCGAGTTGGTCGTTGGCGTTGAGGAAGAGGAAGGGAGCTCGACTCTTATGCGACAGATGGAACAGATCCAGTTATCTAGTGGCTGAGTATTGCTGCGCCTCAAGCCAATAATGTTAATCTGGAATATTCCACATCCCAATATAGTTCGTTCCAACGACCACGCGTCTTGGCTCCGCACAGAGCTTGCCGGCTCGTTGTGAACGCCAGCAGCGGCTGCTGGACACCCTAACAGTACGGCCAGCGCTCGGTCCCACGATCCGAGTTCGAATGCACCATTTGGTGAGTAGAATCGCATTTTTGGGGAGCCGGGGCTAGTTTCGCCCTATCGGAACTCGCTGGCTGGCAAGAGGTCGAATTCATATCGGCCCCATGTCTAAGAGTCCCGTTGCCATATGGGCGACGATGTGTCGCACGCTGATACGCCTGTTAGGGTCGCAGATGGACCACTAGGACTCCAAGGGCCGAGATGTAGTATCGGGTGGATGTTGGAATTCAGCCTTGAGCTCTTCCATGAGCAGACCACCATGATAGATGAAGAGAGATAGGTGCTAAATAGGAAAAGCTTTCGGTCCTATCATTCCATAATACCAAGTAATTAAGTAACGCACGGGCATAAATACACAATCCGTGTGCGTCCGGATAACAGCCATCGACGCACGATCTCAACGCGTTAGTTATCCCGAACATTATCCAACGGTCGCATCGATAATCGAATCGTCGGGCTTCTTCCCTCACCACACAAAGGTGTTCCCGTAAAGCGAGGTGATGTATCTCCTGGACAACGGACTGTATTTTGCTGTAGTTTTGCATCATAGATTGCTCCAAAAGAGCTCAGGGAATTTGGAATGTTCGCCCTATCCGGCAACGGAAACTGTATTTATTTTTAATTTTTTTTTTTTTTGTTTAAAGATCTGTGAGAAGCGTTGTCCTGGCCGGCATGAAGCCCGGTGGACATAAACCACCCGACATCACCAGACGAGCGATTCGTCAGCGTGGTGGGTGTAACCAAATCGCCCCCTCCTCGCGTGCTGCCGGCCGCTGACGTCTCTCCGTGGCTTCCGGATCCCTGGTTGTCACTTCCTCCACGGTGGGGTGGATGCCCAGGCCGCCGCAGCAGAAGCAACAACATCACCATCACCATCATCATCATCACCACCATGACCCCTCTCTCCGCAGCGAGAGGTGGCCGTCACAGAAGCCAGCGCTGCTCCGGGAACGTCGATTTCGTCCACGGCCTCAGCCTTGTCGCAAGCAATCACGCTGGCCGGTCTAGCTCTCAGCCACGAAAGTTTGTTTCCCAGTCTCGACCACGAGCTGTCAAACGGTTCGGAAAGCATCATAGGTTGACTGCCTGGGGAACTTGTTTGGCGGGGTCTTGCTGGAGTCAAGCTGCTTTGCCTGCGCACTCTGTAATGAGATCTTCATCCGCTACCCTGATCTGCTTGCTCCGTCCTCCATCTCTGGTGGGATAATATCTGAAACCATCTCCACGCTGGGCCCGGACGACGCTAATGCTGCTGGTGATGGGAGATTCCTGACTCGCAACGACGGCCGTCAGATCCTCACTTTCCGACCATCACTCCCAACAATGTCCCGGCGTACACACTCACGCTCCTTGAGCAATCCATTTCCTTCTCTCTTTGGGGGAAGGAAGAAAGCCGAACAGCACGCCAACCAGAACTCCCTTCTTGATGTCGTTGACGATGAATCCACCCGGCTTTCTCGATCAGTGAGCCCAAACAGACAGCAAGATTTAAACCCACCAGATCATAATGTGATTCGCAGATGCATGATGTGTGATCATTCTAACTCATTTCCTTCAGGGAAAAGGGGCTTCAGGTGTGGAAAGTGCACGACAGTGAACGATTTGGAACCTTGCCATTCATCTCGACTTCTTCAGATTCCTTCAGGAGATGGAAAGGAAGCCAGCGGCCTGGCGGGCAAGAGAAAAGGTCTGTTCAGCTCTTGTTCTCTGTGTAAACCTGTTAAGACTCCTGTCTGATCATTGCTACCTAAGACAAAGTGTCTGTGGAGAAAACAAGGAATATCATTGATCACTGCCTGCGGTCGTTCTTCAGTAACCAGCTCAAGAGCTTGGGGCTTGATCCATTGACTGGCCCTGATCTGCCAGTGACTCGAAGGCGTGGAGCGTCGGAGAGTAGCTTAGGCACTTATCGTCATGAAACCCCCCGGCATGATGCTGTTGGTGACCTTTCTACTAAGAAAGCTGAGCCTACATTCGAATTTGGCAAATATCCTGACGGCGTTTGCCAGTCTACCGTACCTCAGTCCCCGAAAGAGCTGCCTATACAGACCAAACGCAAGCCGGTTCCAAGTAGTTCGACAGTTCCGAGCTTTGATCCTCAGGCTCATGACAAAAATCAACGAAGAAATATTTCCAGACCAACTTTACCGAGTGGTGGAGATATATTTCGTGTACTTGAAGACTACATTTATGCTTCTTTCGATGACTGTGACACGCTGAACAATTCCTTTCTAACCCCAGGATCGCGTCATCCACGAGCTGCCAGTGAAGGAACCCCACTGCGGAAGAAAAGCCCAGAGAATTCACCCTCTCCTCCGTACGGCTCACCGCACTTTCAGCTGGACGGGAAAACCCTTCGTCTAGGTGATATTGCCGAAAACGGAAGTTGGTGGGCTGGAACGCGTCCAACACGGCATAGGTCGATAAACGATAATCAGAATACGAGGCCGAATATCACACACAGTGGGCTTGTGAGCTTCAAAAGCCCTCGAATAAATTGGCCCGAACTCTCGGAGTGGTATCATTTGGTGATCCATGCCGGCGATTCCTGGCGTACTGCGTGGCACCTTATGAAACCTACCAATACAGATGAGCTTTTAAAATGGGAAGCAGTGGAACTGTCGGGGTTAGAAGAATTAATCTCTGAATCTGAATTTCATTTAAGGACAGTGCTGCTTAAAGCAACTGAGAAGCTCCTTCAACGGCCGAAACGGCCACTGGAACGCCCGGAAGACACTCGGTTTCTATTAATTCTCCTCGTTAACCCATTGCTATATCCTAGCAGTTCTAGTTCTCGAAAACCATCTGCTCAACTGATGGTTCCTGGTTCTGGTGACCGATCGAGACCGAGCATGCCGGCGGACAGGGTACCAGTGCCGAGAAGAAGCCATTCGGCGCTTTCAAACAAGGCCATTGCGCCGAGCGACCGTCGCTCTGTGATTATAAAGAGAATTATCGGCCTCCTTTCAAACCTACCAGGTGAATGTCATCATTCACTGGTATCCTGGTTTTCGAGGCTTTCTGAGAATCAATTCCGACGGCTAGTTGATCTCGTCGGTAGTTTTGTCACTTACCGGCTAAGTAAAGGCTCCAGGCGGCGACCGAGTAAGTCGATAAACATCGAGGATAATATCGAAGAGTTTGTACCTACATTTTCTGGCCCTAGCTTTACCACGTCGGCGCAGCTACATTCAGCATTGCAACGAGATAATGCGACCAAACCATCGAGCTCTGAGCATAAGACCGTCGCTTACAGTGACGATTGGCAAATGAGAGCAGCCGCTCGCGTGATGGCTTTATTGTTTCGTGCGAATCACTCGAGCCATAGGAGGAGATCTCCCAACTCGGCTTCATACCCTCCGTTGAATGGACAACACGAAGTCCATGATCACTTACATATGATTCCGATAAGTACTTTCTATAACACATTGCTCGATTACTCTGATTTGATCACGGACTTTGAGGCCTGGGAATCACGAACTGGAAAGTTCACATTTTGCCAGTACTCCTTTTTCCTTAGCATTTGGGCGAAAATACGAATTCTGGAGCATGACGCTCGTCGTCAGATGGAGGCGAAAGCGCGCGAAGCATTTTTTGACAATATTTTAGGACGCAGGGGAACCAGCCAGTATCTTGTGCTAAAAGTGCGAAGGGAATGCTTGGTTGAAGATAGCCTTCGTGGTGTCAGCGAAGTAGTTGGATCCGGGCAGGAAGAGATCAAGAAAGGCCTTCGCATCGAGTTTGTTGGTGAAGAGGGCGTTGATGCTGGTGGCCTCCGTAAAGAGTGGTTCTTGTTGCTAGTACGGGAGGTGTTTGATCCCTTGAACGGTATGTCCCGTGTTTCATTCTTTGACGGGAAGTTTCGGTATTCTGATCGGTATCACAGGCTCGTTTCTGTATGACAACGATTCCCGCTATTGCTATTTCAATCCTTATTGCTTTGAGTCGTCGGAACAGTTCTTTCTCGTGGGGGTTGTATTAGGGCTTGCGATTTATAACTCCACCATCCTTGATGTTGCCTTTCCACCATTTGCTTTTCGAAAACTGCTAGCCTCAGCAAGACCCAACAATGTCCCAACGTTGTCAACGCCGTATCAACCTTTTAGGTGTACCTTGGATGACCTTGCGGAATATCGTCCAGCACTTGCTAAGGGTTTGCGACAGCTCCTTGAGTACGACGGTGATGTAGAGGAAACATTTTGTCAAGACTTTGTGATCCAGGTTGAGAGGTACGGTGAAACGATAGAGGTCCCCCTTTGTCCCGGTGGAGAGAAACGGCCGGTTACCAATTCCAATCGGTGGGAATTTGTTGATCTTTATGTCAAATACATGCTTGATGATGCTGTTTCTCGGCAATTCGAGCCGTTCAAGCGAGGCTTTTTCACAGTATGCGGTGGCAATGCTCTTCACCTTTTTAGGCCTGAAGAGATCGAACTTTTGGTCCGTGGCTCGGATGAAGCTCTTGACATCCCTTCATTGCGGGCTGTGGCAGTTTATGAGCATTGGCCAACGGCCAATCCTGATAGAGACCCAGTCGTGAATTGGTTTTGGGAATTTTTTACTCGAGTTAACCCCCAAGACCAGCGCAAGATCCTCAGTTTCATTACTGGCAGTGACCGAATACCTGCCATGGGTGCAACTAACCTAGTAATATGCCTGCTTTATCTTGGACAGGATTCGGAAAGGTTCCCGATAGCGAGAACGTGCTTTAATATGTTGTCTCTATATCGGTATAAAACGCGACAGAAGCTGGAATCGAAACTGTGGCGAGCGGTAGTTGAAAGCGAAGGATTCGGTTTGAAATAAGTTGCTCAATGTTTTCGCGAGTTCGGCTCAGAACTTCGCTTCAATCGGGTGTCGGATAGTCGCCATCAAACCTCATGATGTCACGAAGCTCTATACCAAGTTGGTTTTGGGTCCCCTTTTCGGTTGTTTTGGACTATCTTTTATAATTGTTGCTGAAACGTTCCCTTCTGTTGAGCACTGGGAGATAAAAATAGAACTGTTTGTGAGACCCTCCTAGATCGAGGCAGTTCGGTCTCTTGGTGGTTTTAATCTTATGTTGTTGGCTCTTGAGTGTCATCCCCCGTTAGAGCGTCTTGCTCTCTTGACATAACTGTAGTCAAAACGGAGTAATAATCCTCGCGAAATGCTTGGTTGGAAAAAAAGATTTTTTTTTTTGTTTTTTTACAAGAAATAAATATACTAAGATGGGATTTTCCAATCTAATATAATTGCGAGAATCGACCTCGTGGCTGCTGGGTGAGAGATAGGTATGCTATCTCGAGTTATTATGCGAGACTCGGCATCGAAGTCATGATTGAGAGTTTCAAAGTGTGGACAAAGATTATGCTCATGAAGAGGCTGTGTCTCCAAACGAATCCTAGCAAAAGCGGCGGCTGAAGGGCTGAAATCTTCTCCAAATTTTGTGTTCGTGCTGTTCAATCTCGCCATGCAAGTATAGACATGGGGTAGCTCGTTCGCCCCTGGATACGAACCTCAGATCACACGGTCTCAACAGCTTTTATTCGACCTTCCTTATTGAATCATGTACGGATGCTGTTGGGTGAGAACTTCG